AAATTACAAGTAGTTTTTTTATGATGCTGGTGATTACGTAAGTCTTCCCCTTTCTCTCTCTCTCTCTCTCATATTCTCTCTCTCTCTCACACACACACACACACACACACACACACACACATTAACAGATAAAGGGTAAACTGCCATTATGACAGTAAGATGATCAAACTGACACTTCTGCTTACAGACTTTGGCATCATCATCTTCTTATATATCCTACAAAATCTCTTTATCCGTTTGTTTCAACATAAAAGAAGACCAGTGACAAAGAGGTCTATTCATTTTCATTATTGACAGCTAATGTGTGGTATAGATTACGGTTACAGTACAAGGACCTTAAGTTCACATTTTCACAAATTATATGGACTTAATTACAAAAGAAAGCCTTCCTAATTCAAGGCTGTCAGCCCTGCATCACAAGAAAATGTACAAGGATTCTTGTGAAAGGGTTCTAACATGAATTCATAAATTCTTGTCTGTCGAGTTGCAAGGATGAAACTGGAGATGCCATCTTAAAAAGCAAATATTTCAAATTTTTAGTGACATGAAAGGGTAAAAATATGTCCACTCTGAAAATTTCATTAAGGTTCAGTGCCTTAATTTTCTGGAGTTACAGCTCAACTAAGGGGCTGAAAAAGTCCACTTTTTCAAAAAAAAAAAAAAAAAAAAAAAAAAAAAGAAGGGGGGGGGGAGGTGGAGATTAAAAGACCCCCCTCCCCCCGCCCTTTGGGATTGATGGATACAGCTACATGTAGTCCTGAATATGATTTACATAGTTACCTGTAATGGTGCCTTGAAAATTAGAAAAAAATGAACTATGATAGTAAAAGACATTGTGTTAAGTGAAGGTGTCATTAATTGGCTAAGCACTCCAGGTGCTAACAGGTGACCATAGTGATAATTGCGATGTGGACCCTGGATTCAAAATTTATGGCAGTCACAAAACATTTTGTTCTACCAGATTCATTGATCATGCCACATTCACAGACATATTACCTCATTAGCCTTTGCTAATACTACTCTATCTTTGGCTACATTCACAACCAAAGGTGATCCGCAGATTAACAGACCCATGGATCAAATATGGCCAACCCACTTGAAAGCTTGCTGTCTAATTCCTGTGGGGAATCTATTCAGTGTTTATTAGGGGATTTGCAGGGAGCTTTCAATATTGGGTTGGCCATATTTGATCTACTAATCTGTTAGTCCGCAGATTAAATTATTGTGAATGTGGCCTTTTTCTAGTGCCTTTTCCCTGTATGAAATCTGCAATTAATTGCTAAACTGAAGCTTTAACTGCTAGTTTAACAGGCATTGTTCGTGCTGATTATGAGCTCTGCTCTGCAGGAACAGCTTCTGGCTCTGAAATAAAGTCTCTAGAAAGTTGCTTCCTATTATAAATGTTCTGGTTTTAGCAACAGCAAATTAAAATTCACCCTTCAGAATTATTGGTGTCATACGCAAATAAAGCAATAAAATTATACAGGCCTCATAATTAAACTATTTTCAAAATAGCAGTAGTGTACCTTTGACAATTTCCAACACATATAGAATGTACCTAACAGTTAAGTTATTGGATCAATGGTTTGCGCCATAAAATTGCAGTTCGAGTCCTTAATTTGGCATTGGCAATCACAAACCCAAGGTTTGAGATCACAAATGACTAATTCGTTAATAAGGCCCTTTATATTTTATTGTATAGTTGGTAAAATAAAAAAGTCATTCCTGCAGCTGCTGCTGAGAGAGCTGCTGCAATCCTATCTTAGTAAACTGCCTGATAATTTTTTTACCCCTGACCATAGGTAGAAAGGCTTTTGTATGGAGTATGTAATATTTATATGTCTAATACTTTTTTTTGTGTTTTAGGCAGTGTTCAGGTACCCTCTACCAGGGTGGCTGATATTATAGGCACATTTTCCATATTTGCACCCTGTAACTTTTGGCCAGTTGGAAGCAATTAAATCTGCAAATGCGCAGATGGTATTGTACCTGTTCTGTGGGGGTCTACTACAGGAGATTCCTCAGTTAACTCCAATCTGAAGTAACAAGCTATTCAGAAGGGGCTATCTTTATCTGTCACAAAAGAGCAAGTGATTAATATCAGAGCAATTAACTGTATTGATGGCTGTCAAGGGACTTGACTTGGGCCTGTTAAGTGGCATTGCATGAACAGTTATGCAAAAAAATTACCAGCCATGTTGTCATCCTTGAGATTTCCTTACTTGCTAACAGAGAACCAAATGACCATTTATTTATCTTAAGAAATATCTGTGGATATCTTGTGAAAAGTCAATCTATGACCCTGGTAGAAGGTAGTGTTTAGGCATATTATATTATATCATAACTAGAAAAGCACTCCCAGAGCGCCTCCACCAAGGCAGCAATTTTTAATCATTATTGATGGATTATTGATCCGGATCACCACCAAATCATCTGTATTTTGGCCCACTTCTGACAGTTCCTGAAAATTTCATCAATTTATTTTTGATTATTTATTATTGTTTGATTATTGATCCAGATCACCACCAAAAACTAATCACTTCTACATTTAACCATTTCTGACCTACCCTGAAAATTTCATCAAAATCGGTCCATAACTTCTTGAGTTATGTTGATGATTGATTTTTGATTATTGATTATTGATTATTGATTGATTATTGGTCCAGATCACCATCTCTTCCTTGGCGCACTTCTGACAGTTCCTAAAATTTCATCAAAATCGGTCCGTAACTTTTTGGGTTATGTTGATGACAAACAGACAAACAGGGGTGAAAACATAACCTCCTTGGCGGAGGTGCTCTAGACACTGTTCTTTACTTCAGCCAAATATTGGCTATGCTTTCATTGGTGTTGGTGTGTTAGTGGCCATTGTATCTAATATATCTCTCCATCACTTTCAATGAAATGTTAGAGATCCACAGTTACCCAGGAGGGAAGGAAGGAATTAGGGGTTGCAATTTCAAGTGAATCCCAGTCTCCCTTTATTATCTAAAATAATTTCTACCACTTGCATGGACAGTTGTTTGAGTTTGAACAGAGGCAGATGTAGAAGTATTTTCTGATATACTTTCAAATTATCTTTGTTGATTCATCCTCTTTTTTTGACTGTCTTCCAACAGAAAAAATTATGTAAACTTGAAAAATTCTGACCGTCTTCTGTACATGTAGGGCCCAGAAGGCAGCTTCTGTCCACCCCTGTCTAATGTAAGAATACAGCCATGCATCTTGTTTGTGCATGTGCCTGAGCTTTATTTCAGACATGAAATCGAACTCACCTTAGCCCTGGCTCTTCTAATTATGAACAGAAGCTGTTATTTCTGATCCTTTTTAATCCAGTTCTTCATTATGTTGCTCATCAAGGACATATATATTTACATGAAGACGTCACCACCAACCTATTTCCACAATGGTTATGTCATTTCTTTTCTGATGAAAGTTGATATCATTTTCAGCCCAATCTACTACAGAAGATTTGTGTTGTAATAATAAAGATGTATATCCAGGGTCACAGGAATACTGCCTGCAGTTCTATTTAAAAAGCATACAATGCATGCCAGACCTGACTAAACTGGCCAAAAATTATTTCCTGGAAATTTCTACAATTTTCACTGAATCACTTTTTAGGTACTTGTAATTTCAATCCAAAACTGTTCAGTAAATTGAGATCTTACATGTATAAACTTGATTGCAAGTTCTAAATTTTTTCTGCAAGTGAAATTTTCCCATCTTCATTACATCAGTGACTAAAAAATAAAGATTATTTCCTGGAAATGAAAACAATTTCCCTTATTTACTATCAAGGCAATTTCAGTCTATAATTCAAAGAAAAGAATGGTCTTCTATAATCTGACCTTGTTTTAAAGTTCTAAATTTAGTTCTCTTTTAACAACTACAACTGAAATTCACCATCTTCATTTCTTAAGTTACTGAAAATTTAGAAATGTAGTATAACTTTAAAATGAGTTTGTAATATATAGTAATTTAGCAAGTGGGCATGGTGCACTGTGGGTATTTAAAAAGAAAAGAGGTGAAATTTCCAACAAAATTATTTTTATGCTTTAAATTTGAGGTGGTCTCTTTTATGTAGCACATTCTGTTGTTTGTGCCTTGTATTAAACTTCTCTTGTGAAGCTGATTTGGAGGAAATTAATTTACACAGAAAATTAGACAAAGTTATGGAACACTTTCAAATGAAAATACTTAATATTTATAGTTAAACACATTGATTTTCTACCAAATTTACTTAAAAACTTAAATTAATATAGTGATACAATTTCAAAAACCAACTTAGAAATCAACAGTATCGATTGACAGATTGGTTGACACCCGTGGCATGTCTTTTTAAAAACAGTCAAGTCCTTCAAAAGTCAGATGTAAATTTGGTGGATTGTACTTTAACATTCATTCAATTATCTTTGAAAATGCAGGAAGATAACCAACCCTTGCACACACCTTTTAGTCTTTCAAAAATCAAATCTAATATTCCACTAAGGTATATATGTGTGAACTAGTATGTGTACAAGTAGTAGGGCTGTCTAACTGAACTACTCATAGCTAATTGCTAAGAACGACTGATAATTTTAACAGTAAATTATTGAGCTTGATCCACACACCTAAGTATAGGCAAGCCCATCTAGCATTTAGAGTGGGAAGTTCTTTTGTAAAGCTGATTAATTTACAGTGAAGCTTGTTGTTTTCTAATTATTCTGGATCATTTTACCTTCAGGATTTAGATCCAAGAATTGCGGGTTACTAACCTTAAATTTACACGCATTGATGCCATACTGTATTGTTTAGGATTTAAGTTATGCACTGTAACAGTAAGGTATTTGGTACATTTTACATAAAACTAAATTAACGGTTGAGCTGATACAGTTTGAGTATATAGATTAAATGAATATTGTGATAAGTAAATTCCCAGATGTTTTCTCCATGTATTTTTCGCCTGGAAAAAAATCACTCCCAATTATGCACAGTAGCATCATATACTGTTTCCTTACCTGACTGTGAGAATTGTGCATTCTCTCGATAGCCAATTTCAGAACAATGTGTTTTACAGATGTTGCGGTGTGCCGCCATTACCACAAAGTCTGTGAATGTGAACAACAAGGCCATGCAATCCAGGAACGGAGTTGAGGCCCTCTAAGAGAAAAACACGCATTATATGCCGACCAAATAAAATATTCTATTCTAGTCGATTATGGGATGATTATGAATCAGTGAACGGTGAAATGAGCTTATCCCTGGAATGTTACATGATAGCAGCATTTTGTGTAATGATAAAGTGAGGCATTCAGTGGTGAAATATTGACATATTAATATGTGGTATTCTCTTCTTGGTAAGAATTTTTATTGAGAAAAAAGCTTGCCATGATTAAAAAGTTAATTAACCCTTTTTCAGTTGCTCTCCTTGAGATCAGCAAAAGAAAAACATTTTTGCCCCCCCCCCCCCCCCCCCCCTGTGACCTTGTGACTCATAATCTGATGATTATAAAAAATATCCCGTTTGATGCAATTTTAAGTGACCTTTGGTGGGAAAACCAAAAAGTACAAAAAGGCACTTCTTTGACCAAAGATATGTGTGTTGGATTAAAAGAAGGTCTCAGAACAGGGTAATAATATTTGTATATTGCAGTATATAATTAGAACCATTAATTGTTTTAGCCCAGTCTAGTCTTTTTCACTGAGTACCATAGTTTATGTGATGGCCATTAGAATAGATGGAAGCTAATTAAGTTGCTACTGGGACTTAAATACTATACTCCATGGGGATATGTGGCTCTGGCAGGGACTACTTATTTAAAACCAATTATATAATGTGTAAAAATCTTACACATACAGATATTGTACATGTACCAATAATAACTCCTCTACTGTAAAATACAGCAGCTGCTGTGGTAATTTTCATGTGGGAGGGAAAATTGGAATCAAATTCCATGAATCTGCACCCATTACTTTAATAGCCAGAATGGCAAAAATGGAAATCAAACCATTGCTACACAATCCCACTGGCTGGCAGTCGATTGGAATTGAGGTCAACACCAGCAAAAAAAAAAAAAGAAAAAAAAGCCATGTGTATTCTCACCATCGTTTATTGCTATTGATCGAGGCTACCAAGGAGAATCATCATGTCCTCTTGATTTATTTCTTCTCGTAGGTGTAGATTTGTTTCAGGTAAACAGCTGGAGTACGTCAGCCAAATTGAAATCCCCGGCCAACGTGAATAAAATTCAAGGCAAACAACATTAAGAAGATAGGAATCAATAAAAGTGTAACTGATTTCAAAGACCCGTCACTTCTATTATTCAGATAAGAGGAAGCCCCATAAAGGCCAATCAGCTGAAGTGCAGCAACCTGTCACATCTCCAGGGAGTACTTACTGCAGCTGAGACTTTACCAGCAGTCACACATGTCCTTCAGCCTTTTCACCTCAAGGTCAAGGACATTGGAAAGGTCAAGGACGATTCAGAACCCAAGGGCAGTCCACAGGTCATGGGGTATTCAGATAAGAAAGGCAGATTAGATAGTGAAGACATGGCAGAGGGAAATGCCTATATAAAGGTCAAAGACAACCACAAAGACATGGCCATGCAGAAGGTCAAGACTAGTTTGCTTGTTGATGTAGTTTGTGAGCATGGTAACAAGTGGGTGAAGGTCATAGCAAGAAAAGCACAGGCTCTACACCTGACTTGGACAGGTAGGAAGATCATATTTTGTATGCTTGTTTGTACTTGGTAGCTAGTAATGATTTTTGAATGAAGTGTACAGATGCAGTTTCGAGTCTAGGGATATAATTGATGCAGCTTATCATGGATACGCAGTGGCAAAAGATCAATCTTATTTGAATAGATGATAATTATGAAAATCTATAATATGTGTGTTCGTAATGATCAATGTACAGCACTCTAATCATGATTAATAGTAAATGATGTTCTATTTGCTTTTACAATGAGGTAGTCTCAACTAACACATTATCTTTCACTTTTCACATTAAATATTTGGAATATTATCATGTAATTGGTTGTATTCCAGGAGATGGTCAGTTTGGAGACAGGAACATTGTGGACCAAGCAGCGGACTATATATACTATGCAGAACAAAACCCAGTGAACTATACACCACCCAGGGTTCTGTTTGTGTTCCATGGTGGAGTGACTGACAGAATAGCACACGAGTTGATCTCAGTACTTGGAGTGGAGGTACAGGGAGAGGTGGTGCCAGCTGATCAGTATGGGGACATAGAGGAATCAGAGGATGAGGCTATAGGGGACCTCAGTCCCTCCCAGCACAATGTCTCAACTGATGCAATGGTCTTGTGTCACACCCAAAGGGATGTGGGTACCATAGGAATGTCCTCTTGTCTCAGCAAGCACAGTGCCAAAACCACAATTGATGGCCACCTAATGCAAAGCCACTTTGAAGATAAAATTTTGGATAGTGGAAGTGAAAGTAATCAGTGTATGCTCCCTGTCACACCTGACACATTACTGCAATCAGAATGCACACTGGGCACAACTAACACATCCAGTTCTTCTACCAGTGTTATGCCATGTATAGAAGGATGCTTAGCTTGCCAGAATTGCAAGGGATTTGTGAACAGTCCTCTGTTTGACTGTACCTGTATAGTGTGCAAAGATTTCTTTGAGAAACAATTGGTTTTCTCTTCACAAGTAGATAAAGCATCATTATCCACTGGTCATGATTGTGCTCACAATGCAGAATCCCACCTATCGCAATCACAGCCAACACATTGTGTTAAAACAGACTGTGATACCAGCCAGTCTACAAGGGAATATGAACACAATTCGGTGTCTCACCTAACGCAATCAGATACTGTGTCACAACTAAAGCATTGGTCATCTCAATCCACCGACACCATCAGGAGAGTCAACCTGGATGTGACAGCCATGATTGCCCTGATATCAGCTCTGACCCATGGTGGCAGCGGGTGGGTCTTCAAGGAAGCTGTACTGACTGCCCAGGCTGAAGAGGAGAGGCAAGCACCAGCTTTACCTCAGATTTATCAGTTTATATTTGGTAGGTGGCATGCATTTTCAAAATTATCCAAGGGGTGCAAGGTTGGCAAGTGTTACACATTTTCTGTTTATGTTAGATATGGAACTACTGCAGATGTGTATGAGCCTAGCCGATATATTAGCCAAATGCTGCAGAAGCTGGTAGTTTACTTGGACATTAAAAAAAAAGAAAATGGGTGGGGGGATAATTTATAGATAATGCAACGGTGATTAGGTGAAAAATTGAGCTGTTTACCTGTAGTAAAAATCATGCTTAAGTTTCACACACTCATAAATATTGCATGACTTCTTATGTTACACACAGGTTGAGCATAAAATGTTTTTTCCACCAACAGACAAAATTTTATCAAAGGTACAGCTACTATGAACAAATTTTCTCCTCACTGTATTTGGAACCAGTTTATCAATAATGTACCACCTTGCTTAAAACCTTTTTTTACTTGTGTTTTCAGGCAAATCCCTATATGCTTGTCAGTCAGCAGTGAAGGATTTCCAGAGCATAGTCAGTTTGCTTGGAGGCCCCGCGGAGACCAGGAGAGCAGAGCAGCTGTTGGGTCACATCCATGTTGTCCCCGACTGTCCTCCATCTCATGTTGTGTTAATAAAGTGTACGGGCAGTATTAAAGAAAGGGCTAAGGTAATAGACATATCTCTAGATATATAGGAGGGGGAAAGGGAAAGACATGTTGTGTCTCATTTAAATATTTTAAAAAGTCATAATAACTCTTCGTTTTGGCCAAAAATAGGATTTTCCTGGAGTATGCCATATCTCTAGATAAAAAAAGGAGAGAGAGAGGGGAAAGGTTGTGCCTCATTTAAATATAGGCAATATTAAAGAAAGCCATATTATTGATATATGGCATATTATCGGTTGATTCAGAATTTAAGGAGGTGATGGATGGGGAAGGGGAGAGGAGGGGATGTTGTTGAATATTGAATAGACAGATGATTTATCTTGAATAATCCTAAATAATGTGATTTAGTGAAATGAACAACAGCCACATGTAGCTCCCATTCAGTTGTGGATTCATAACAACTCCGTACTCATCTGACCTTACACATGCAAGGTCATCCAGTGTGATCAAGACCTCTCAGCATTGGTCAAAACTGTACCAAGACAGCTGTCATTTTTCTCTGGTCATGAAAGGAATCTTGTGAATCTTTTAAATAAAATATCCTCCTCATTCTGTTTTTCAGGTGATATTTGGTTCTGGGGAGACACTGCGTGCACTGACGTTATCTGCTAACATGGGTTTTATCAGAGCAGCTGATAACCAGGTCAGTTAGACTCCGTTCACATGAAAAATCTATTTTTCTAAAAATCTATTTTCTATTCGTGGTATCTTGTGATCACTCCAAGCGCAGCTGAGAATTAATTACAGCTTTGGAAGTAACTGGCTTGCGCTGCCAGTAATTACCCCGCGGGGTATTCAGGGCACAGACTGTGATTACAAGATACCACGAATAGAAAATAGATTTTTCATGTGAACGAAGCCTTATACTCAAGTTGTAACAAAACTCCTTTATGTATTCCCTACTTCAGGTAACAGGTGGTACATGTGTGGTTTACTCTGATCTTATTTGTTGTAGAGATGAAAGTCCTGGAATTATCTAGAAATCTGAATATTTGGGTTTTGTATTTATGCACCGCAAATCCCACATTATACTAGTAGAGCTGGGCACCTTCAGCATTTGTTTTTGTTTTGGTTTTTCAAACAAAATTGGATAGATACAATACGGTAATGTGCCATGAATTTCGAACAGTAGAAAATAATTAAATTTGGGAAAAGATCGTTNAAAGGAGAGAGAGGGGAAAGGTTGTGCCTCATTTAAATATAGGCAATATTAAAGAAAGCCATATTATTGATATATGGCATATTATCTGTTGATTCAGAATTTAAGGAGGTGATGGATGGGGAAGGGGAGAGGAGGGGATGTTGTTGAATATTGAATAGACAGATGATTTATCTTGAATAATCCTAAATAATGTGATTTAGTGAAATGAACAACAGCCACATGTAGCTCCCATTCAGTTGTGGATTCATAACAACTCCGTACTCATCTGACCTTACACATGCAAGGTCATCCAGTGTGATCAAGACCTCTCAGCATTGGTCAAAACTGTACCAAGACAGCTGTCATTTTTCTCTGGTCATGAAAGGAATCTTGTGAATCTTTTAAATAAAATATCCTCCTCATTCTGTTTTTCAGGTGATATTTGGTTCTGGGGAGACACTGCGTGCGCTGACGTTATCTGCTAACATGGGTTTTATCAGAGCAGCTGATAACCAGGTCAGTTAGACTCCGTTCACATGAAAAATCTATTTTCTAAAAATCTATTTTCTGTTCGTGGTATCTTGTGATCACTCCAAGCGCAGCTGAGAATTAATTACAGCTTTGGAAGTAACTGGCTTGCACTGCCAGTAATTACCCTGCAGGGTATTCAGGGCACAGACCGTGATTACAAGATACCACGAATAGAAAATAGATTTTTAGAAAATAGATTTTTCATGTGAACGAAGCCTTATACTCAAGTTGTAACAAAACTCCTTTATGTATTCCCTACTTCAGGTAACAGGTGGTACATGTGTGGTTTACTCTGATCTTATTTGTTGTAGAGATGAAAGTCCTGGAATTATCTAGAAATCTGAATTTTTGGGTTTTGTATTTATGCACCGCAAATCCCACATTATACTAGTAGAGCTGGGCACCTTCAGCATTTGTTTTTGTTTTGGTTTTTCAAACAAAATTGGATAGATACAATACCATTATATGTTGTGTGTAATTTAATATTGGTACACATTTATTTCAACAGGGCGTGACATTTGCTGTGCTGGTCCATGCATCCAGAGCTTTGACAGAACAGAAGCAGAAGACAGGCACTCCTCTCAACTCTGGTTAAACCTGTGTTACACAAGTCTACCCAGTAAAAACTATCACAAAAGTCTGATGGAAAGTAATAAGTTTTAGCACAGAGCTATAAACAGAACTGCCATCATTTATCACATGGAATTTCTTTCATGTTTTGTACCTTTTGTTTGTTTCACACCGAAATTTTGTCATTCCCCCAATTAACCTATTTAAGGTATTATGTTTGATTTTGTAATCATAGTTTATTTATTTATGAGACTCAGTTTATTGGTGTGTGTTAGGTTACAGGTGTTTGCAGAATGAAAGACATCTGAAACAACTTTTTCTTATTAATTTCTTTTCTCACACTCCAAGTAATGTACATTGGAGTTAAGGTGCAATATTACCATTTCCAGATATAATTTATTTATGGGAATTAACAGGCTCATAGAAGACTTCATATATCACAAAGAAGTTCTTTCAATATTTTCTTTTTAGTTACACTCCAGTATTCTCCCCAAGTGTCGGGGTTAACTGGGAACGAAGTACTGTTATCAGCATATTTTAAGTTAGAAAGTGGAAACAGCAGAAGGATGCCAAGTTTAGTCTGAAGCTCAGGTAAAAAGTCCACAGTAGAGCTTTGTTGTTGTTGTTGTTGTTGTTGTATTTGCTCAAAGGGAAGGGTTTAGTTAAGTTTAAGTTAATTAGGTAAAATGGTTATGTTTTCAACTACAGTTCATGTATGATATTCAGTACACTTTGAGCAGTTGTCAATCATTGTTTTGGCATACCAACTTTTAATTTGTACATTGTATGTTGTTGTAACACCTTAAGATTAAGGTGCATTGAGCAGTTATTTTCCTCCTCCTTTTCTTTTTCTTCTAGCTGTAATCTATTTCATTTGACAGAAAATTGGTCGTCAATAAAATCATTCTGAAGCACTGCTTGTGTTTAGTTTCATTGACGGTAGCGCAGGTGATTTTACACCTTTTGTGTGATATTATAATAATAACAAGATTGAGTTTAAATATAAAAATACCATATTTATTGACATAATATATACATGGACCCTGAGTATTATTCAGGTCAATGCCTTGGCACTTGTGGCATTATACAAAAATAATTACAAAAAAAATAATAATAATAATAACAACGAAATGAAGATGAACAATTTCTTTGTCTTATTGCACTCTCAGTTCCACTGGAATGTCACTTTTCACAACGCATCATGAACTTCGTCTTATGTAGTTTAGGAAAGTCTTGGAATGGTTTGAATTCAATAAATATTTAAACGTTGATTGAATAAATAAGGTATTTGTCTACTGGCAAAACGGACTCGGTTCCGGTGACACGTGGTTTCCTCTTTAAGGTCCTACCCAATGATCCGGGATTTAGATGCAGCCAATTGTTTTCCATCATGGTCTGAATTCCTATTTAAATGATGTTGCAGGCATTTGGACAGTACTTGTACTGGATCAGCTCTTCTGGTGCGTCCTGGAAGAATCTCTGGGAGCACTTCCATGGCGCAAACCAAGATGTGCTGCAAAACCACTCATCTGCTCCGTTCTTGCCTAATTCGCTGATGTTGGCTGATAATACGGAGGGGAAAAACACGTATAATAATTACATTATAGAAAACAATGTTCAACCAAAAAAGCACTTGTAAAGTCTATTTCATCTAATGTGTAGACCATAGATTTAAGCGTCATTATGGTACGATAGAGACAAGAACTGCATAATCTAAGAGAATTGAAAGTCACAATAGGGCATTTGTATAGAACACATTTCCATTACGTGTCACTGTTTCTTTATTTTTTTTATTGTCGGGGATCGTAATAAAATCAATTTTGTTGACACGTACTTAAGAGGTATAAAATTGCTGTACGGAAAATTAAACTTTTTCATTCAAACACGCAATGTTTAGTTCAGTGCCATGGTTTACGTCAATATACAGACCATTTGCGGTGACATAGTAATGGCATAGGATTTGTGTTTGTCACAAAGACTTTCTAGTGAGATTTAAAAAACGTGACCTTGTCAAACAATTAAAAAGTAAAGGCTATACATATATATAGGTACCATACCTCCAACTACTCCCCAAAATCTACCCGCCTTCCTAGGCTATACACCTGTAAAGAAATGTCTAAATTCAACTACATGCGGTTAAATAAAGAAAAGATATTTGTTCTCCTTATCGAGGTGTACTAACTTTTGCATTTGGCCGAGGTCGGGCAATTCCGTACTTGGCTTAACCTGAAGTACGAAATTTCCCAGTATTCTGAATTCAACCGTTAGTGCACCACACCATCTAAAAACCACCACATAAACTATAATATATATGTAGCCTACCCGAAAACAAATATATAAGACGAAACAACCCACTACAGACTACATGTACGAATAACCACATGCAACATCAAAATAATTATGTTGGCGGTTTAGACAAACAGCATGCATGCCGCTTTTTTTTCCCAAACAAGTGGGTTGCAAATGTACTGCAGGTATATATATATATATATATATATATATATATATATATATATATATATATATATATATATATATATAAAACAGTCACCAAGATCTACTTCTACCGACTAACTCAAGTTAACACGGGTCTTAGTCTTAAGTTCAACCTCATCCGAATAAACCTACAGACATGCATCTCAAGTATCTTTTGCATGCAGTAATTCAATAATACTTACGTGATTCACATCTCTGTCCAGTGAAGTATCTAGGACACGTGCACTTGCAGCTGCCGCACTCTAACTGGCCGCCATTCAAGCAGGTCTTCCCTGGGCAAAAATCTGCAATAAAGCAAGAATACTATTTAGTCTATTATGTTAAATAAAACTGGAGAGAGGCAAAGTAGAGAGGCAAAAATGCTAAAACACACTTGCACAAACACGCATGCACAAACATATACACAGAGGCATACGCGCAAACATATAAGCACACGCTCAATCAATAAGAGAGAGAGAGAGAGAGAATGGGAAGTGAGAGAGAGGGAGTGAGAGAAAGAAAGGCAGAGGGTGCCATAACTTACCTTCTAACACCCCACAAGATACTGGACATGCGGCGTATTTGATCAGATCAGTTGTCCCCGAGAGTCTGTAGTCACAATATTTTGGTGTGTTATTGGGATCTGAGCACCATGCAGAGTACCTGTCCAAGCTGTTGGCGCCCATAGCTCTACAGTTAGCTGGAAAAGACATCAAGAAAATGCGTTAGTTGAGACAATCAATGCTTGAGACATTGCGGTAGCGTGAGAGATTAGGCCACTGGCTTGTATGTGTTGGTGGATGTTCCGTGTAGTTGTCATTTTTTTCTGAAGACCGCTAGATACATGTATTATGTGTCATTCTAGCTTTTGGGGCATTATTTCAATTTGTAATGCGTTTAAGGGTGCTTGTTTTAAGATGCAAGATAGTTTTGGAATCTCCTTGCCAATGCCTACCTTTCTGAATTAAATTTATACTATTATCTACCTTACGTTTTTTATTCATACCGTGGCCTTGTCAGACATTAAAATGCAAACGTTATTCTTTTGATGATTATTCGCATGTCGAATGAAAGTACAAGATATAAAAATTAAAGTCTACTCACGTATTTCACATCTAGCCCCACTAAAGTATTTTCCACATTGACAGGAACATGTTGAGTAGTCAAATGGTTTTCCCTGCTCACATTGTTGAACAACTGGACACTTGGCTGGAGAAGACAAATGTGTTGGATGTGTTAGGTGGGCGGACGAATGCACTGTGTGTCAAGGCTTCATTTTCATCAAGTTTTATCAAATTTATTACTACGATACAAATGGGACAAGGTTATTACGTGAAGCGTTAATTACATGTATACACATATATGTGTTCCTGGTAGCGAACAAACTACTGATGTACAGATTCAAAGAGCTATAGTTGAAGGGGAGGAGAATAAATGATTTGTCCATCAAGTGTCAAACTAAGTTGGTATCCAGATATTGGGGTGCTCATATGCAATTCACTCACGTGATTGGCAGCTGGCCCCGGTCCACTGAGGTAGGCACTGACACCTGCAGTTATCGTAGTCTGGAGTGCCGCCGTTTTGACAAGCGAGGACGGTTGATCCGCATTTATTCTCACGACCTAATGAACAAAATATAGTCAAACTGTCACTATCTTTCCTATTCGGTACGCTCGGTACATTGTTTTTCCAAAATTTTAAACGGGGTATTTCACAAAGTGTTTTAAAGTAAAACTAAAACCATTTACATGTATTATGTAATATAATGATTTGATTCATGTTATTAATTTTGAAGCAATATGACACAGTGCAACAAGTGCGTCGTCCAAGATTGCAAAGTGTAACTGTTACTTTAAAAATAATTCAAAAAGACAATTTAGATTTCACCACGATTGCTTACCGCAGTTTTCTGGGAATCTTGAACACTCGTATTCTGTTGCTGTAAGAGAACAATCAAAATTAGAATAAATAAAAAGTACAATTGGAGTGCATTATGGAAGTAAGTGTATGTAGTGCAATTATAACGTTTAATGAACATAAAGTAACTCGTAGCAAATGGAAATGAATGTTAAAAAAGCGATGGCCCAACACAACACGTGCACTTCAAACAAACAATAGTGTGAATGCTGGGTATCACGTGACTTACGGCACAGTCCAGCTGCGCACTCTCCAGTGTTCTGTGAGTCGTCTGTAGCACACTCCGAGCAGGTGGCTCCCGCTCTGTATGGCTTCTGACCAATGTAGTTGCCTCTGTAATGTAAAATATACCATATTGAAATATGCAATATTGTTTTTAATTCAGTAGGGGGTCTAATCTCCATGTCTCACTCGGACAGAACTTTACACTGACAATTACATGTGAAGCGTTGAAACGAAGATGGGACTCAGACGTTTTCAAGGAGTACTTTTAGCAAAACGGGCAAAAATTGGGTGATGTAAAACCTTGAGAAAACTCCCTCTGCAAGAAAACATCTTCGACTCTCAATGATGCGATAAGACTCTAGTTGCAAACTGTAGAATTGAAGCCTAACAGCAATGCCATTATTTTTTACATTTACAGCGTATTCACAAACGTACGTCAGCATACTGTTGAATTATTCAATGTTGGTGGATTTTAGGAACGGATTCAAATGGCATCTAATGGTAAATCCAATATCACTGATGCAAATGTCGACAAACTTAAGGTAGATGAAGTGAGAAATCGATGAAGTCTTCAAAGATACACGAAAGGAAGTGATTATTGCCGTGTACTTAATAAGTGCGTCAGACGCCAAAATTGTTAAGTGAATCAGACACGAAAGTAGAAGATTAGACTCTTCTTCTAAATGCCATTAAATAGTTCTATGATAACTTGGTACTAAGACCCTGTGTAAAAGACATTTATATGCCACACTATTTAATTGTTTGCTAAACCTTCATTATTAAGCCAATCGTTCATGTGTCTATCCGTGCATTTGTCTTTTTAGTATTCATCCACCTGTAATTGATTTATCATTTGAACATCTTTCTAATTATTATTTATTGTTTACTTTTTTGTGCACTTGCTTTTAAAATTCATTTTTTCTTTCACTCAACAATTCGACTTACGGTGGGTAATAGTTGCAGACGACGTAGTACCATACGCCGCGGTAGCCAAGGAATGGAGATTTTACGGCACACTCTGCGACTGCGCAACCCACGCGGTGACTATCTGCCCAGACGGCCTATAATAAGAACAAACAAAAAAATCAATTATACGAATTTAAATATTTTAAAGATTTTAACCTTTAAATGTTTTAAGTGTTGTATTCCTGCTGGTAAATTATCGACAGAGACAAAGCAATATATAATAAACGCCATTATGACGTCTGGTTTTAGTTGTTAATTTGGAAATGCAATACGGGGCGTCTTGCAAAATGTGACAACCCTCAATGCACCTGCAACTTATTACTGCTTATATAAATTAAAGCTTTCCAAATGCGGTAGTTGAGAAAAAGTTTTCCATTGTGTTGTGACAATTACCTGTGTATAATGCCCACATTTCTCTCCGGGTACACAGCTATTATTGGCGTAGGTATAAAACGGGATCTCCTCGTCCACCCAATAGTAAAGCGACCTCGTAGGATCGACTGGTCGTCGGGTTGTCGCGAACAGATTCTGCCCGGGCTTGGTTCTTTGGAACTCGGAGTTCTGTGGGATGTTGTGGCCGTGTTTGTAATCGCACTGGTCGGCCCAGTTCTGAGCCACGCTCTCCAGTTCGTCGTCCCACACCTGGAAATTAAGCAATCGCAATCGTCATCGTCACAACTAACACACTAATGTCCCTCCAAGCATTTCTGTTAAGAAAAAAAGTTGTAAAGTGCTTTTGGTTGTCCTAAGTTTTAAGGCAATAGAATTGAATTATACGCACCATGGTTAATATAAATGTTATGTTCATTGACATACGCACTACAGAATTCTCTTTTTGTTTGAAAGATGTTGAGATCCGTTTTACTCACCATAGATTTCATGTTTGTGGCGGGGGGCACGACACTTCTTCTTTTTTTTTTTTTTGCGTCTACAATAACTTTTTTTCAGCCAGTGAGTATTTTGGAATCTCTCGCTTTATTCTTCGTCCCTGCACTAAAATACATACAAATTATTACATGTAATTGTCTCCAGAACTGTTTTAAGATGGCAAATAGATGAATGAATGAATGATGTAAGCCATTATGGTCCTAAATGGAAGGATAATGTACTCTTTTACCCTAGCTTATTCATTGTTCGTTTCTTATAAATGTCCATGGCGTTGACAGCGCTGAATAATTATCATACTTCATCAGTCAATATTGACTTGGAGAGTCAACACATGCACGTGCGGTGGATATTATTAGATTAAACTCCTAAAATGCAAACTGCTGCAGAGATAATAGCAGTGCCCCGACGTCAATACCCCTTTATCTTTTACAGACGTCTGGCTAACGCACGTTATTGGACATCAAGTCTCGTGAGGAGGTAAAACTAATGACCTCAAGGTCAACAAACGCCTTATTAAAAACTTTTAATGCTACATAAAAATCAGCAATG